ATCGAACAAAGCAGTTTTAATGTGAAACTGTTGATTTTACACTCAAACATTTGTTCAGCTGTTGTGACAGCCTGCTGACTCAAACAGATACATTGGTATAAATAAATAACATTTACAACACTACCATTATTATACTGTTGAAGGTAGCTTTATTTTATGCATTCTTTTTTGTTTAAGCATGCCTGTATTATAAATATATTATCAAGACATATGACTGAAAGACAGATATCTGGAAATTATCATGATCCAGTCTCTATATGTGTAAAACCCAGACTGCACCTCATTATATAAGTGATTCATGAAAACATAATGATTGAAATACATGTGTTGTGTAAAGTTTGAATGTACGCATTTCCCCTAGTGATGCTACTGTAAGATAATATTTTTGATAACAACGTCCTCCTCTCTCTCGGACTTAAAGTCATTAAAAGAAAAAAAATACTTAACCAAGAATGTAAATGTTCTCACTTCAACATGCTTTACCATTGATTTGTTTTGTAGATCCATAATAAATCAGGAGGGTTGATGACTGTTGGTTAATACAATCTACTGTTAAATGTTGATTCTTTTGAGATGGGTAAAATGGAATTAGAAATATTTGCAAATATAAATTTGCAAAAAAATAAATTGTGATGCTGTATCATTCATTTGAAATATGTCAGATTGGTGTTTTGTTCAAACTGTTTATCTTCCAAAGAATTAATTCTAAAACAGATATTGTTCAATTGTACTATAATAAGTGTTGCTCATATATTTGGTCCAATAAGTATATATGTTATGTTTTTGTTATGTTAGGCTAAACTACAGCTTTCATGAGATGAACGTATCATCTGTCAATGGGACTGTGGTTGGTCGGTCTCCAGACTCCTTAACTAAAGCTGTGACCAAGAATGTGATTGTCGTGGTTATCGGGATCTCCATCAACTACATCAATGCAAGCCTCATTCACACCTTCCGCAAACACCAGGTCTGATATTTCTTTAATGACACAGTAATATGTTTTTTACTTTAGATTTTTGGTAGAAATGAAGCCAGGTCAGGCTAAATTAGTCCAACAGTGGGGTGATCTTCGAAGAATAGTTAAAATAGTTCCTAGTGACTATAGAATAGTATTTTACCATTACTAGTTAATTAAAACTGTAAATTGTGAAAAATCAACACAAACATCAATCTAAAATCTGCCAATGTGCTTTGGTTCCACCCTCTAGATCTTCTACATGAATCCTCGGTACATCCTCTTCATTCACCTGGTGGTCAACGACACGATCCAAATGATGCTGTCTGTCATGCTGTTTGTCATCAGCTACACCATCTATAAAATAAATGTCTCCATCTGTTGCGTCTTTATCTTGATTGCGCTTCTCACCACTGAAAACAGCCCTCTGAACCTGGCTTGCATGGCGGTGGAGTGCTACATCGCCATCTGCGTTCCCCTTCGCCACGTGCAGATCTGCACCATCAAGAGAACGTTAATGCTGATTGGTTTAATCTGGGTGACAACCATGCTGTCTGTTCTTCCTGATCTGTTCATCACTTTGGCCACACAGCCACTGGGCTTCTTTCACTCCCAGGTGTTCTGCCTCAGACAAACCGTCTTCCCAAATCCCATCATCATCAAGAAGAGAGATATCACTTATTCAGTGTTTCTAGTTATAGTTTGGATCACTATCTTTTACACTTACTTCAAGATCCTGTTCACTGCAAAAACAGCTAGCAAAGATGCTAAAAAAGCCAGAAACACTATCCTCCTCCACGGGTTTCAGCTGCTGCTGTGTATGACAACATATGTAGGCCCCCAGTTATTAGATGTTCTGCAACAATGGTTCCCTAAGGATTATACAGACTCCCTCTTTGCTTACTATGTTATTGTACAAGTCCTGCCACGATCTATTAGTCCGATGATCTATGGCATACGAGACAATACTTTCAGAAAGTACCTGAAAAGTTACCTGTTGTGCAGATTTAGAATGCAGTAAGCAACCAAATAAAGACTATAATTAGGTCTTTAATGCTTAAACATTTAAACTACAGGTTTCTCAAACTGTTAAAACATTTGTGAAAATCCTAACTCAGAATTGTAATGTACATAGTGCATGCTGTGAGTGAAAGTTTCCACAATATTGTTGTAGATGAACACAAAATATGTAAACTCATCTCAGCTCCACTCAAACAACCAAATACAAATGTTAATGATTTGTGATTAAACATCCTTATACCAGGTGTCCTAAACAACGAACGTACTTTCGCCTGTGCCTTGATGTATATGGATCTCAGTTGTGAAATGAAACGTATGACAACTCATAACACACGAGAGAAAAATAGTTACAATATCTCACACACACGAGTACATCATCTTTAGAAGAGGCTTCCTTCTGGGACGACAGCCTTGCAGACCAGTTTGATGCAGTGTGCAGCGTATGGTCTGAGCACTGACAGGCTGACCCCCCACCACTTTAACCTCTGCAGCAATGCTGGCAGCACTCATACGTCTATTTCCCAAAGACAACCTCTGGATATGACGCTGAGTACGTGCACTCAACTTCTTTGGTCGACCATGGTGAGGCCTGTTCTGAGTAGAGCCTGTAAAACCGTTGTATGGTCTTGGCCACTGTGCTGCAGCTCAGTTTCAGGGTCTTGGCAATCTTCTTATAGCCTCGGCCATCTTTATGTAGAGCAGCAATTATTTTTTTCAGATCCTCAGCGAGTTCTTTGCCATGAGGTGCCATGTTGAACTTCCAGTGACCAGTATGAGGGAGTGTGAGAGCGATAATTCTAAATTTAACTCACCTGCTCACACCTGTGACCTTGTAACACTAACGAGTCACATGACACTGGGGAGTGAAAATGGCTAACTGGGCCCAATGTGGACATTTTCACTTAACTGTGTACTCACTTTTGTTGCCAGCGGTTTTGACATTAATGGCTGTGTGATGTGTTATTTTGAGGGGACAGCAAATTTACACCGTTATACAAGCTGCACACTCACTTTACATTGTATCAGAGTTGTCACATGAAAAGATATATTGAAGTATGAGTAGGGGTGTCCTCACTTTTGTGAGATACTGTATGTGGCCCTAGTCATTTTTGTAACTTCAGACTGATTGAGGTTATGAGTGTTCCCGTTCAATGTTTGAACTAAACTTTGGTTTAATGAAAATAAATTAACTTTGGTATTTGTTGTTCAGTAATGTAACCATAATCATGAAATGTTTATTATTTGTCTGTTTGGACAAAATCACTGTAACCTGTGGAGTTCTGTGTTTTTTTTTTACCTCTAGTAGCACCATGGAGGTTTTTTATAATTGGGCCCCTGTTTTGTTTGTTTCGTGCTCACCCACGAGGACACACATGCACATACATGTGCACGCAGGTGACAAGATACAAGTTTCTGCCCGTGGTTTCCTACCATTTCACTGATCTATAGGTGGCAGTAATGCACCATGAAACAAGCAATGTGCCATAAAAGGCAGGGAAGAAGAAAGACTACCAACAAGTAAACATGCATGTAAACAATGCAAAATGTGAAATACTTGGGTATGCATTCAACACATTTATTAGAACTCAAGGATACACACCAAATTTAACACTGAATGTAAACATGTAAACTTTTGTTTGTTTACAAAAAATCTCCAATGGGGTGCCTTTAAAAAATGCCATAAAGCTGTGGTTGTACATTGTGCTAAGTAAGCCAGGAACACAATTTTGACATACAAGAAAACACTTTCAGGAAGTATATACAGTATCTCACAAAAGTGAGTACACCTTTACCATTTTATCATTAAATTACAGGTAGAATTCCCCTTTTTCGCTTGTGTGCATGTGTAATTACAAGGCTCGACTGAGAATACAGAGTCATCCAGCGAAGGTTGAGGTCAAGGGTCAAGTTGCCCTTGACTTCAGCCTTCGTTGGATAACTATGACCTGGATGACTGAGAACCTTCACAGAATACAGAGTCCTAACCAATTTTGAAATGTGGTTGCATAAACTCACAAATAAGTAGAAAGTTTACACTGTAATTTACACTGACTTCACTCTGGAGGAATAAGACATTATTTGTTTTATTTATTTATTCATAATGGTAGGTCTCCCATTGAGGTTTGAGTTTTTAAATTAAATTAAATTATTGTAAGAAAATAGTTTATTGTCTTATACATCTGTTTTAGTTAGCTTGTCTTAATAAAATTTATATTTGAATTAAACATTTGTGTTGTTTTGTTTTTATTCCTAATATATCTTACTACACACCATTGACTGTATTTGTCTAAATATGCATAATTATGACACACTTGCAGATGAGGTTCCTTCATTATATTTTTATTTGACTGACAGGCCGTGGTCCAATCACCTAAAGAGAACAGGCCCCGTACTCTACACAGCTGGAATCACCTCTTACATTCTGCAGAACTCGTGCATCATCCTGCTTGATATAAACATCCTCCACTGAGTTCAGACTCATTTCACTCAAGTGTACTTTCTGAGGTAGGTAGGAAAGTCTTTGGTGCTATACTGTAGAACTGCAACATTAAGTGCAGTATTTCATTATGTTGTTTGGTGTTGTCTGAACATGATGTAATTTCTTTATTTTTAAAAATGTGTTGATCTTATTTAAAATGTGTTAAAAATTTTGCATTTAGAAAAGGAAATTACATTTTTCACTTTCATTTAAATGATCTGTTGCTTGTTGAGAAAGTTTAGCTGTCTCATTTTTAAATAAGCTGTTCTGCTAAAAATGTGACTTCTACTACAGTAAAAAGAATTATTATCTTTGTGAAACATTGAAGACCTACACAAATATCACAGTTACATTTCTGGAAGGATATATTTCTGGATGAATGTTTTTCTTACTTTAACAGGAAAGATACATTTATTGGATTTAGATTTACTATATTTCTGTGAATAATTCCTCACGTTGTTAACCAAGGTATTGCTTGGTTTAACATTTAAATATGTTTACATGTTGCTCTGTAACAGAGGCTTGCAGGATCATCAGATCATTTCCATGAATTCCTCATCTAATGGTTTAAGTGTGTCAAGTGTACAGAGTTATCGAGACTCTTTCAGCACATCTGTGGTCAAAAATGTGATCATTCTGGCTCTTGGCCTCATCATCAACTATATCAATGGCACCCTTATTCACACCTTCAGAAAACACCAGGTCAGAATACTTTACTACTGTTTCTCCTTACTAACACGGTCATTATTGTTGATATTATTCAAATGTCAGTTATAATTATTAGCAGAAAACTATGACAACTGGACAGCTGTCTTCTACTACAGTTTAATTTATTGAGAGGGCAGAGGTTTGTGATTGTGATGATCTTGATGTTGTTCAGAAGCAATTTTATTTTGTGTTGCATTGTGTGTGAGCAAAGTTCAGTTAAAGAAAAGTGAAGGGGATATGTTTAGCTGGCTTTTTAATAAGGTATATTTTTGTCTAGAAAAATGCACGGAAACCAAGACATAATAGGACATTTCTGTCTGAATGATTTGAAATGACCTTTTTGAATTTGTGGAACTGAATGTAATTGTTGAAATTAGATTTGTTTTATTTTATCACATTTTCTATTAAATTTGCATTTGTTATTTATACTTTTATTTTGAAGTCATGAACAAGTCTCGTTGGGTTGCTCTCGCATGAATGGAGCTGCTGAGCTACTCCGGCCGGCAAGCAGAGAGCACGGACATTTTTGTCTGCTCATGTGGAAAGGTTGCAGCAGACTCTGGTATGAGCGGTTTTAAGTTTACCTCTGAAGACTCAAAGACTTCCTCTTCTTTGTAGCATGCAGCGACAGAGGAAATTTGTTTGTCTGTATTTTACTTAGGTAAATGTTATCCCACGTGCTGTGGATGTTATTGTTTATGTTAAGCCAACATGTTTTTTTATCTTTTCTCAGTATTTAGTTTTCATGTGGATTTGGAGCGAAGACTTCCAATAAACCAGTAGCAAGAAAACCACTTGTGTCTGCCTGCGCTTAGAGGAAATTACTCTGCCAATTAGGATTTGTCATGTGGCCATCCTGTTTGTCGTTGCTTGCCATATTGTTTTCTAAGCCAATATGGTCTGACGTGCCAACGGATGGAATAAAGTGATGTTTAACTGACCTTTCATTTCTTCTTCTCCTCCTCTCTTTCAGATATTTTATATGAATCCTCGTTACATCCTATTCATCCACCTGGTGGTGAACGATATGATCCAGCTCACTACAACAATCAGCCTGTTTGTCTTAAGTTACATCTTCTACCAAATTAATGTTTCCCTGTGTTGCCTTATTATAACTTTAGCTGTCTTCACCACCCTCAACACTCCTTTAAATTTAGCTGTCATGGCAGTGGAGTGCTACATTGCTATTTGTTTACCGCTGCGACACACTCAGTTGTATACCATCAAAAGAACATATATTGTGATTGGTTGGATTTGGGCCATGAGTGCAGCCTCAACCCTACCAGATGTGTGTATTATTCTGGCAACAGAGCCTATACAGTTCTTTTACTCCACAATTTTTTGTGAAAGGGATAATGTGTTCCGGCACCCTATACATATGAAAAAGAGGGATATATCCTACATAATCTACCTAATTTGTGTTTGGCTCACTCTCTTCTACACTTACTTCAAGATCTTCTTTGCTGCTAAAGAAGCTAAAGCAGCTAAATCATCTGGTGGAGACGCAAAGAAGGCCAGGAATACAATCCTGCTCCATGGCTTTCAGTTACTGTTGTGTATGCTAACCTATATTGCCCCTATGTTAAAAAGCGCTCTGGTGAACTGGTTTCCTACACATTATGTAAATGTAGTCTTTGTTTGTTATATTATCATCCAGATCCTTCCCCGGTTTCTCAGTCCCATTGTGTACGGGCTACGAGACAAGACATTTAGGCAGCATCTGAAAAAGTATCTGCTGTGTACAGTGAGAGCAAGCATCAAACCATGGACTGAAGCAAAACAAAGTTAGATCCTTGAACAAAATTTTCCAGTTGTGAATGCCACAGAGGACAAAGTTTTTAAACTTAACTCATCTAGATCATGTTAATCCTATTGGACGGCGACCCATCCAATAGTTGTCGAGATATTTCATTCTAAAACCAAACTTTAACTTGAAAAGCCAGGGGCTCAACCTGGCAGGTTTTAGGTACCAAATTACATAAATTCATCCATTAGTCTCAACTATTTTGCAAAAATTGCTAAAGTAAACATCATAGTGGAGCTATAGGAAAAGTCAGGGGATCATCATAGTCAGTAGCATCTATAGGGATCATGAATCTGGAGGAATTAGACAAATTTAATTATAACCAGTAGGTCTCCCATTAAGGTTTAAAGAAGAATGTACAGAAAAACCCTGTTTCACCTGTTTTTTTTTAACTCTGTCACAGTGTTTTCATTGCAATGAAATAGTTGTTAGTAAATATTGTATTGTCTTATACATCTGTTTAAGTTAGTGCTTCTTTATTAAAGTCATGTTTCAATTAAAATATGTATTGTTTAATCAAAATTAAGTGGTTTTATTTATTTTTATCAGTTTTCCATTTATATACAACCTCATTCAGCCACGTGCTTTTCATAGTCTGGCCTTACGATGTCTTTAGTTTGGATTTGCTCTCTGAATAGAAGTATTGATTATTATATGAAACATTTTACAATGACTTAAAGTTGGCTTTATATTGCAATATTTTAAATATTACATTTACATTAAATTTGCCCATTTAGCAGACGCTTTTATTCAAAGCGACTTACATTTGAGGAACAACATACAAGCATCAACAGACATTCAATACAGCACAAGATCTACAACTGACAATAGATACTAGAGCTAATAGCACGTACCGCATCAATGGGGTAAATACTTAGGGAAAGAAGGGACAGTTTAAAAAACGTGAAATCAATCCAAGAGAATTGTAAGGGGATAAAAGAAGAGCACAGGAAGTGCATGTTAGAGGTTAGAGGTGTTATAAGAGAAAGTGTTCTTGGGAGCTTCTTGAAGTTAGAGAGGGACGCCCTGCTCTGACGGTGTGTGGTAGCTCGTTCCACCATCGTGGTGTCACAGATGAGAACAGGAACTTAGGTTGCTTTGTGTGAAGGGATGGCAGAGCCAGGCATAGCCTGTCGTATGCAAAGAAATCAGCAGTTTTGTCACTATTAGCACAGTAACCAAATAGAAAGAAGTGATGCTTCCTCCTGTAATTATATGCAATTTCCCAAACTTAGAAATTACAATTCCTCAACACAAAGGAGGTTTTGTGGAACTGGCCAGGAAATCTACGCTTCGTGTTTTTTCATGTACAAATGACCCCTGCTTGAATTCCCTGCTATTATGTCTTTCCTAACTAAATTGCTGTGTAACACGAACCCTCTTTACTTGCTTTGTGTTGAGGAACTGAGACAGATGGACTTCCAGCTGCTGGAGTGCCTGATCCTCATTTACGCCAGATAAGGAGTCATCCTGTTTGGGAATTGAAGCATTTGCTCTGGCTATATCTTCATTTTGCTCTTTCATGCTTAATTAGCACGCAGCTAGACACAATCTCTGGACAAATCAATAGAAACAAGAAGTGCTCTGTAACATGCAGTCTTCTCTACCCACGGTTATCAGGCCCCTCATCACAGTTTGCGAAATGTGGACTCGAACTTGGAAACTCAGGCGTGACAGGTGGACAAGTTAAAACCCAAGGCGCTAGCATCTGTCGCTAGCCCGTCTCTTCTGGCATCAAGGAGTGAGGTTTACACACACCACAGCCTAGCAGGCTCCCATTACAGAAGCTCATTGGTATTTTTTGTCCTGGCCAGTAGAGAGTGTCTCTAAAGAAAAACGAACATTAGTCGTTTCAGCAAATTCCTAAAGACAACATTCAACTGACTAAGGCCTGTTGTGGCTGTAGTAATTATTAAGGAGGACGTTAGGCGACGTTCTTATGGAGCCACAGACTCCAGTAGGTGGTCGGGGTGAAGGGATGGGTCAACCAAAATGTCGGACTTTAACGCGGGAGAAAGTCTCAGTTCCTTTTAACCATGACCACATCTGTTTCCTAACCGTAACCATGTGGTGTATGTATGGCAAAGGTTCCCTAACCTTAACGAAGTAATAATTTTCACCCAAACTTTACGAAGTTGTCTGACCCTAACCACACCTTAAGAATAGTGGTGTAAGATCAGAAAACGGCAATGTTGTCCTGTTGATAGGGACAAATGAGAAATCGCTTCTGGAGGAAAGTGTGTTCTCACTCTGCGATGCTGATACCATCCCTGACCGGACTTATAAATAAGTAAGTATAAATACTTCTGATCATGACATCCTGGGTTTCCTGAAACTCCTGAATACTGTATTTGTGTTTTTTGCCAGGTTACACGACTCCACGACTAAATGCTAATGTTGCTCCGTGTCCGAAAACTGTACAAGTACATAAACATTTTTTGCCTTTTAATTAGCTTTTTTTTTTTTTACCACTGCATAAATAAAATTGTCAAAATGTGCTTTTTACTCAGTGTTTCCACAGGATTTGGAGAGACTATGGTGGGGGAGGTCCGAGGCCCGAGAGGGTCCGGTAAAGTAAAGTACATGTACCATTTACTTTTAATGGACACATGTAATATATACTTTCTGTGAATATAATCCAATTAATCTTATTTCCATCCTGTATAGAAACATTATTTTGAAAACGGGATGTTGTCACACGTGTATCCTCGCACTAAATTCATCAAGTCCGATCCAATTTGATAAATAATGTTGCATGTGGTTCTCGTAACGCGTAAAATGAAGACTTCACAGCCTCTCTTCAGGCAGGACTGTCATACTGCAACACTTGTCTTTGTAAAGAGAGAAACTGACAGGATAAAGTCGCTAACCTGCCTGTCAGCTCGCACTGGGCTGTTTCAGTTACCAAGTTAGTCACAGATGGAGTGGATTTGTTAGGAGACAATTCAGCAGAACAGCGTCAGCAAAAGGCGATTTTTTTCAGACACACTTTTAAATGCTTCCACAATGCCAACATGTCAACGTAGTTGTTCGGTAAAATTTTATCAGTCTAAATAACAACAACAGGAAAATAAAACTTTTCCCTTTAAGAAATAAACATCATGAATATAATCATTCTCTTTATCTCTAACTGCTCTGTTCCGACGTATTAGGCCGAACAATGATGAACCTATTTTTGCTATTTTCAGGCGATTCATTTCAGTGGCCAAACATTCAGTGCATTCCTAGTTTTGGTAGGCCCATTTTTTCCCCCACTTTGGACAGAGCCATCATAGAGGTTTCCTACTGCTTCATGTTAAAGCCAGGCCAACCACATCCTGACTCTAGCCCCGCACTTAAGGCATAAAAACTGCATAAAATCATGTTATTCTTGCAAAAAACAAAAACAACAAAAAACAAAAGAGCATATTTCCAAAATGTGAAACTATTCCTTTAAACACACACACACACACACACACACACACACACACAAAATATGGGCAACCATAATCCCAAATGTCTTCTATCAACACATATAAACAGATCTTTGCATCGACACCCACAACAGACTGGTGCTATGTGACGTTTGGATGGGTAGGTACAGACATGCTTACTGCTTTCACTGACTGATACTGTATAGGCCGCAAATTACTGTGTTATTGAATATCATGTTATATGATTGTATGTTATATGCATTATGTATATTTTTCTCTTAATTATTGACACATACTGCTGAATTTTTGCTTCTGCCCTGAGTGTAATGAAAAGAAGTTTCTGTAATAGTCAGTGATGCATACAGTTTCCTCACAGTGGTAGTGATTCCTCGAAGGGGATTATGCTCAATCTCAGACAAAGTAAACATCGGGTACAGCTGTACCATGTGCACTAAAATAGCTTATAAAGTTTAAGAAATAGTTGAACAGTTTGGCACATTCTCCACAACATACTCCACAAAGAGGCAGTAAATTGCAAATTGTGTTAGAAATGTTAAGATTTAGTGGAGAATGATTTATTCCATGCATCCATTTTCCTTATTTTATTTTCATGTTGATAAATAATGTTTAAGCTTGAAGGACACACAATAATCTAGAAGATGATTTATTTCAGACATGATTTAGCCATTTTAGACATGAACTTTTCATCCATCAACGGCACTTCAACTGTAACTTGGAATCAGCGGGACACCTTCACCACGGCTGTGACCAAGAATGTGATTGTCACAGCTCTCTGCATCTCTATCAATTACATCAATGGTACTCTGGTCCACACCTTCAGAAAGCACCAGGTCTGACATCCGCTTTTGTTTTTGCAGTACAACAGTATAATGTGTGCGAGTAGAAAATGAGAATCAGGAGTCAGCAGAAGAGAATACCTGGATAGCAGGTTATAAAAGAATTGTATTAACCTGAAGCAAATTATTAGCATAATAAAGACAAAATATTACTTTATGACGCAAAAACACATGTACAGGTGCATCTAAAAATTTATATATCGTAATTTATTTCAGAAAGTGAACCCTTCTTATATATTCTAGATTCATTACATATAAAGTGAAATATTTCAAGCCTTTCTTTTGTTTTAATCTTGATGATTACAGCTCAAAAAAAAATCTAAAAATTTTAGATTTTTAGAATAAAGAATTTTATAATCCAGAAATGTCGAGCTCTAATTAGATAATTAAACAAAACACCTCCAAAGGTGCAGACATGTCAACGTAGTTGTTCGATAAAATTTAATCGGTCTTTTGATTTATTAGGCCGAACACCAAAAGTGCTATTTTTGCAATTTTCGGCCGATTAATTTTCAGCGGCCGAACATTCGGTGCATCCCCATTAAATACATTAAATATCATCTAGACTAGACCTTACCAAATTTCATATGCGCTGTTACTTACAGAAAGCTTTCACCTCTGAAAGGCAATAAACATGCTATAATCATTAGCATGTAACACTAATATTATTGTTTAATGTGACGTGATGTGAATCAGTTATTGCAGAATACATAGTGTGCTTTGCTGAAACACAAAACTGAAAAATGAGAGTTTGAAAAAGCAACAAATTAAAATGAATTGAATCATCTACAATGCCAAAACTACTAAATTAAAACTAATTTCATCCTCCAGATCTTCAACTCAAACCCTCGTTACATTCTGTTCATCCACCTGGTGATAAATGACATGATGCAGCTGTTCCTGTCCACTCTTCTCCACATCATCAGCTACGCCCTTTACACAATCAGTGTACCGTTCTGCCTCATCCTGCTGATCATCACCATCCTCACCACCCTCAACACCCCACTGAACCTGGCTGGCATGGCGGTCGAGTGCTACATCGCCATCTGCATCCCCCTCCGTCACGGACAGATCTGCACCATTAAGAAAACCTGCATCCTGATCGGTTTGATCTGGGTTGCGAGTGCATTCTCTATCCTACCAGATCTCTTCATCCTCCTGGCCACAGAGCCGCTGCAGTTTTTTCACTCTTCAGTTTTATGTGCCAGAGATTACGTGTTCAGAAGCCCTTACAGCCTGAAGAAGAGGGACGCTTCACACATTGTTTGTCTCGTCCTGGTTTGGCTCACACTCGTATACACTTACTTCAGGATTCTGTTTGCTGCCAAGGAAGCGACTGCAGACATTAGAAAAGCCAGAAACACTATCCTGCTGCATGGCTTTCAGTTGCTGTTGTGTATGCTTACTTATGTGAGACCCATGTTTGAAGAAGGTCTGCTCTACTTATTGCCCAACCAGCTCCTGGACATACGCTTTGCCTGTTATGTCATTGTCCAGATCCTGCCACGGTTTGTTAGTCCCATTGTCTACGGACTACGAGACCAAACCTTCAGGACATACGTGAAAAGGCACCTGCTTTGTAAAGTGAGCATAAGAAACCACCCAGAAACCGTCACCATGTCAAACATGAGGCCCACGTTGAAACTGCAATGAGAGTTTCTCCGTTTCCAATCTGGCAAAGAAATACAAAAAATAATAATATACAGTAAATAACATGATCATTTATGTTTGAAATTAGTGAAGATGTGTTCTTACTTTACTATTTTAACTTGTTGCTGTAACAATAAAATTTAAAATAGAAGGTTAGTATGCTCAGATTTTAGGTGAATACTTTCTCATCTTTCAGGTTTCTTCTCAACTAAGAATAGTCAAAATATAAAATATTTTGACTATTGTAAATCCATCATGACAGCAACTATGGGAATCAGAGGATGCATCATTGCAATTGTATCACAAGATATTCAAATCTTAAATGAAAAACCTCAATTATTAAATAAAAAACACTGAATGATGAAGACATCATAGCTCATATGTTTTAATTTAATGTACGTACTCTCAAAGTAAAAGACTGTCTGTGAGATGAGGATAAAGGTACAGGTTTAGTGTTTGATTACTGAGTACTGAAACTAAGGCAGTGGTTGGAAATAGGTGGCTCACGGGCCGAAACTGGCGGCAAGATTACTTTGATAATGGGGGGTAAAAAAATACTTAGATCTCACGACAGCAACAGTTACTCACATAATCACTTCCTCTTAGGTGACTACAAAATAAAAGTGCAATAATGTTTTTTGCAGCAATGCTTTATGGCGCATTAATTGAAAGCTTTTACTTTGAAAAGTTCTGAAGGACATTCAGAAGAGTCTGTGACTTGCCCCTCTGAAAAAAGTGTGAGATTGGATTCCCCTGAATGAGGAGCGCAGGATTTTCCACTGTCTGGAGATGCAGGGGAAATGAAAATAAGCATCCATAGGTTCTCCCGCACATGCTTTATTATGAGACCGAATGTGAACGGTCTCTTCATAATAAATTTATTGAAGATGGGGGAAAAGTATGTTCCCATAACGTCAGGATCAAACACACAACTCTTCAAGTGGGAGACTGGACTGAGCTAACCAGGCACATTAAAACAAGCACATTTAATTCATCACTTGACCATGTTCTGGGTTCTGGCCGCCATCTAATGGCAAAAAGGCAGCCTCATCAGTGTGGAGGCTGTGGAACAATGTTAGCGCTCCCCCTTTGTTGGTGTGAAAATCTAAAAACCATTACTAGCGTTAAATATATATAGTTTTATTATAGAGAATAATGCAGTGAAATTAAGTCACTTGTGACAAACTGTACACCGCTCATCAGACACTTTTTTAAATTTGCAGCAGAACCCAAAGTACGTTTCTATTTAATTCATTAATTAAACTTCCATTTAAAACAACACATTACCGGCTGAGATAACATGAATAAACATTGAATAAACCATCGACCACAATTAAGGTTATTAAAAAAGTTTACAACAACAAAATGTCTCTAAACATTAGTGCTTTATTAGAAAGAATCTGTCTGAAATTAGTCTATTGAAAGTTTAGGTTTAACAATTGCAAAAATGTTGAATATTATGTTGTTCCGGCTTCTTAAATGTGAGGATTTGTCTCCGACAGCACACAACATGTGGTGACGTCACTGTGGGGGACATTTCTCATTATTTCTAGATAATATATATTGATAGATATCTTTTATAAAGATTTACTTTCTACACCAAACAATTATATAAATAGATAAGTCGTTAATGAAAATAGTAGACATCCCTGAATACATGAGGAAACTGATAAGAAATAAATAGAAATCAACAGTGTGGAAGTGTGAATTATAGAAAAGTCAAATTGGATTAAAAAAAACTAAAAAAAAACAATGCTTACACCTCCCCTTCATCATTATCATCATCATCATGTTTTTCCTGTACTCTGATAAACACTGAGGAGGACGACGACAAGAAAATCAAAGTGTTTATAAAGGCTCGTCTGCCGAGCTGTGTGCCTCCTGTGTGTCTGACCTGGACTCAGGTAGGTGGAGGTGAGACAGCTCCAGAGCTCTTTGGCAGTTTATGTGATCCAAATATTTACAGATTTAAATGTTCAAAATGTAAATGAAATGTAATGTGATGTGATATTTAAACTGATAGTGGTGGATAGTCGCCAGCCTGTGTTTATTCCAAGGTGCACTGGGGTTGCTAAGACTGCTGTATTAGTTGTTAAAATACATTTAAAAAGGTAAAGCTCAGTTTCTAATGCCAGTTTTACACATTGTGTTTCAGCAGCTGACTGAGGTTTGTAAATGTAGGAGTTTTATAGTATACAACTAGTGATTAATAAAAAAAAGCTATTAAGTGTAAAAGCCTTTATGCATCAGCCTTTATTAATACAAATGAAATAATGAATACAGGTTTTAACTCCATGTACTGTGTGGATTAATTGCTTAATGTCAGACAGTGTTTGAGGGAGAAAAAAAAAAAATCAAGCTGTGAAGGTGAAAAGGGAAAGTGGCAGAACACTGCACGTCGTGAAATTTGATTTAAGTAGGAAATAAAATGTTTGTGGTTTACAACACCCGAGCAAAGTGTTTAGGAAATGTTCTTGTTATACACACAAGGTGAACTTTAGTGTCAGATTCCTCTCAGGTCTCTGTTGATTGTAAAGATTAAAACACAATCTGAGAATAAAATCTCAGATTTACAGCCATGAGCCAACAGCAACGCAGTGAATTGAATTTCTCAAGTATTGAGATTTTCAATATTTTGGCTGTAAAAATCTTGTGCATTATTAGTATTTCGTTTTTTTTATTTGTCAGTGTGTATTTCCTGTGTTGTGCACTCTCTCTCTTTCTCTCGCTCTCTAGGGTCTTAATGAAATATGAGTTCATCAGTGGGTCCTGGAGGCAACATGACATTTCCTTCTCAGGTCTGGTGAAGCAATTGTGTTTTGCTACCACATGTTTTCAAATGAATCTTTGCGTCAGTGAAAAGTTTTTTAATTTGCTTGAACTGTAAATGTTGATGATGTGGTGAAGTTTGTCGGTCACCATTCGGTTTAAATGTCATCATTGCAATTATCAAAAGTCTGCTGATTTTCTAATCAAATTAAGTTTTTCACCGTGATTGTTTTATACTGTATTTTTCAAAATTGAGCTTTTTCTATGTGTTTTGGCCTTAAGCACACATGCAATTTACATTTTAGGTTACTGAAAATGAACCTTTTTGAAAATCCCAGCCAGGGAGAAGATTTGCAGAAACTCTGTTTGCAGTGTTGACCGCTTTTTGATTTTTGGCTTGTGATGTCAGAGTGAGAGTGTGGATTTCCTTTGTTTCCATAAGGAAACATTTTGTACAATAGTGAATGTGGCACAACTGTGCTCATTCTAACAGTTTTATTTTGCTAAATTTATATTTGCTGTGATATTTAGGAATAACTCCACATTGATGTCAGTCCGCTCATTTGATTCTCCCTTCATCTGTGCACCTTTGCTGGCAGCCTACTGGAAAAAAGTTTTTTTCAGTCTTCTGATTGGCCAACGTGGCTTTAGGCTTAGGGTTATATCACCGCCTGTAGGTTTGGCACGCCTTTGACAGCGCTTCCGTTGAGTTTTCATGTGATTTCTTTTAAACAAAGCAGGAAAAAAACTGTTTATAAAAATACCCGTGTATGTGTGGACGAGGCCCAAGTTCTCCTCGAGGTTTCTGCCTTTGTCTCAGTGGCCAAGTCATGGTAGGAATTGCTGGGTCCTTTTTAAATAATGTCCTGATCTGTATTAAAAGTGCAAAAAGAAAACTTCTGTAATGAATTGGTGCTATATGAATAAGACTGAATTGAATAAATGTACAAAATTCACACGGGGCAGCTGATGGAATTAAGATAAATAATGATTCACTGTATTTGAAAGTAATTTCTTTTTCTTTCCTTAATTTGCTGGATCAGTTCATGCTCGTCAGAGATACCTTCACCACAGCATTTGTGAAGAACCTGATTGTGGTTCTGGTCTGGCTCATCCTCAGTTACATCAATGGCACCTTGGTTGTAACCTTTTTTAGACACCAGGTACACACACACACACACACACACACACACACACACACGTGACACCTTAGTTCTGAACCAATAAGTCAATTAATTGATACGTGAATCAACAGAAAAATAACCAACAATTTTGACAATCAATTAATTATTTCATCCATCCATCCATCCACTGTCAACCGCTTATCCTGTGTACAGGGTCGCGGGAATTAATTATTTCAGTCATTTATAAAGCTCAAACGTTCGCTCGTTCCAGCGTCTCAAATATTTGTTGCCGCTTCTCTTTATTTTATGGACAAAGCAAACTGAAGATGTCACCATGGGCTCTGTGAAAATGTGTGAAATTTTTCACTATTTTCTGACACTTTAAAAACTAAGAAAACAAAATAGCCTAATATTTGTATAAAATAAGTTGCAGCCAGGTGGCCCAGCAGATACACCTGCAGTCACCCAGCTTATTCACACTACACTAAAACAGCAGTACAGCAGGACCAACACACACAATACTTTATTACATACAGGTGCTGGTCATATAATTAGAATATCATCAAAAAGTTGATTTATTTCAGTAATTCCATTCAAAAAGTGAAACTTGTATAATGTATACATTCGTTCCACACAGACTGATATATTTCAAGTGTTCATTCCTTTTAATTTTGATGATTATAACTGACATCTAATGAAAACCCCAAAATCAGTATCTCAGAAAATTGTGAAATATTGAAAAGGTTCAATATTGACACCTGGTGCCACACTCTAATCAGCTAATTAACTCAAAACACCTGCAAAGGCCTTTAAATTCTTCTCTCAGTCTAGTTCTGTAGCTACACAATCATGGGGAAGACTGCTGACTTGACAGCTGTCCAAAAGACGCCTCAGTGTCACATTCCTTGTGTCAACCCACTCTTGAACAAGACACAGCGTCAGAAGCGCCTGGGCTAAAGACAAAAAGGACTGGACTGCTGCTGAGTGGTCCAAAGTTATGTTTTCTGATGAAAGTAAATTTTGCATATCCTTTGGAAATCAAGGTCCCAGAGTCTGGAGGAAGAGTACCTGGTTTAAGGACCATGGTATCCCTGTTCTTAATTGGCCAGCAAACTGGCCTGACCTTAACCCTATAGAAAATCTATGGGCTATTGTGAAGAGGAAGATGCGATACGCCAGACCCAACAATGCAGAAGAGCTGAAGGCCACTATCAGAGCAACCTGGGCTCTCATAACACCTGAGCAGTGCCACAGACTGATCGACTCCATGCCACGCCGCATTGCTGCAGTAATTCAGGCAAAAGGAGCCCCAACTAAGTATTGAGTGCTGTACATGCTCATACTTTTCATGTTCATACTTTTCAGTTGGCCAACATTTCTAAAAATCCTTTTTTTGTATTGGTCTTAAGTAATATTCAAATTTTCGGGGAGATACTGAATTTGGGATTTTCATTAGTTGTCAGTTTTAATCATCACAATTAAATGTAATAAACATTTGAAATATATCAGTCTGTGTGTAATGAATGAATAATATCCAAGTTTCACTTCACAAAAATGGAATTACTGAAATAAATCAACTTTTTGATGATATTCTAATTATATGACCAGCACCAGTACATTTAGATCATACAGACTGAAATATGGAAATTTGTAATGTTATGTTTACTGCTTCAAGAGGAGTTTATTTACTGCACTTCTGCAGTAAATAAACTCCTCTTGACTATAGCCTATATGCATTTGGAGAGAAAATGCCAAAGAGCTAAAGATCAGGCAAAAAGTTGACAATCAAGAATTAATGAGCTGATAAGTATATAGAATAGATAAGTTACTCTGTGCATGTAAACAATTTTTTCTCTCTATTCCTCTATCCACATGTGTTCTGTCTATAGTGCTTATAAGATTAGTCAATTAATCAATTATTCTATTGACAAAAATGAAAATTAACTGATTATGTAATCAATTATGACATTTTTCAAGCAAAAGGCTTCTCAAGTGTGATATACATTACACATATACAGTAATCTGAACATATATTTGGCAGATTAACTGTTAAGGAAAATAATAATTTGTTGCAACCCAGTTATGTTTGTTTTATCAAACATTTGTTAATCACACTTCAGATTCTTCTTTGCCTTCTTTCCTTTTCCTCAGGACTCACAAAACAACAACAATCAGCTGACTCAGCTCTTTTTACCTCACCCCCTCTGCTTCTGTCTTAAACCAGTAACTGTTGTCGTATCCTCTGACTAACTGCATCACTACATTTTCACTCCTTTGTCTTCCTCCAGGTTTTTTATGAAGACCCACGTTACATCCTCTTCATCCACATGGTGATCAATGATGCCGTCCAGCTGACCGTCACAGTCACACTTTTTGTCTTGAGCTACATCTTCTACAAGATCAATGTCTCTTTCTGCTGCTTCTTTCTCCTGGTGGCCGTCTTCACCACCAGAAACACCCCGGTCAACTTAGCTAGCATGGCCATAGAGCGCTATATTGCCATTTGCAAACCTTTACGCCACCCCCAGATCTGCACAGTGAGAAGGACTCACATTGTCATCGGGTTGATTTGGTTTATATGTGCGGCTCCAGATATTACAGATCTATTTGTGACTCTAGCAACAGAGCCCCTGAGCTTCTTTCAGGACTCTGTGCTATGTATACGCCAGAACGTGTTCAAAGACCCGATCCTGGCATACAAAAGACAAGCCTTTGATATAATCTACTTCACCTTTGTGTTCCTGACTCTGGTCTTCACCTATTTGAGGATCCTGTTTGTAGCTAAGGCCCTCTCCACAGATAAGATGTCAGCCCAGAGAGCCAGGAACACCATCCTGCTCCACGGGGCCCAGCTGGCCATGTGCATGCTCTCCTACATCTCCCCCAGCATGGAGGTTGTTTTTCTTTTAATCTTCCCGGGCCAAATCGTAGAAATTAGATTTGCAAACTACCTGATCGTCTACATCCTGCCCCGGTTCCTGAGTCCAATAATTTATGGTGTCAGAGACAAAGAGTTCAGGAAGCACCTCAAGATGCACCTTCTGAGAAACAGGTGCAGGGTCAAAGTGCAGACAGTGCCCCCCATGGACAAAGACAACATGTAACACATTATATAGGCAGAGGGTTTGAATAAAGGTGTCCACTCTTTGATAAAGAAAGCCTTTTGATTCTTAATGTTATTGTAAAGAAAATAATAATTATAACAGTCACAATATAATAACAATAATGGCCGCCTGGAAAGTGGCAGTAAGAAAAGATCTTCAGTGTATTTGTTACAATAAGCAACACAGAGAATAGATCTGTCCTCTCAGTCTACACAGAGGAGACAGAGAAAATCTTCTGACTTCTTTTGAGTCTGTAAATGACAGAAATTAAACAATAAGATTGGCTGTAGTCCCTTGAACAAATTATTCTTGACAACAGGAATGGAGGCACTTTGAGCTGGCGGTTTGGTGACAGCTTTAACATCGGGAGGGATGAAAACAGATGGCTGATAGACAATCTAACAGAGCTGCACGATGGGAGAAAATCTTACCATAAGTATTCTGACAAATATTGTGATTAGCATTCATTTTCATTATTCAATTGTAATAATATTTCCATTAATCATGCAGAACTACTTTTTTTGTAATTCTTTGTTTCTTATCAGCCAACATATGCAGCAATATCCATATATCTGCAAAAAGCTAATATTTGCAAATATATTTAGCTCTAGTTGTGATACTTTGCTGTGCAGTACTAATTGTCATTACAATGCCAGGCGGCAGTACAATGTCATACACAGTGGGTCTCGAAGTTTTATCTTTTCCCGGTGGAAGTTCAACAGCCAGACCCAAATCTGACAAGCGGACGTGTCCTGAGTGGAAAGGCTTCGATTACAACAGTTGCATATGGCTGTTGAACAGACAACCTACTATTGTGTTCAGAAGGTTTACACTCCAAGCCTGATTAATGAAACATAATAAAACATAGTTTTATCTCTTAATAAAATCTTATCGTTCTTGTTCACTGAACTGCACTGGTGGACTGTAAGTGCAAAATATAGGTTTAATCACTGAGGACAATCTTTTTGGTATTTACAATATCAGCAAGGTGACTGTGAATGTCATGTGTTATTAAAACCAACTAGAGCCGTACTATATCTTAAAAGCCTTGTTTTGAAGCAAAGCTATTTGTCTGATCTTTAAGTTGCTCTGTGCTCTTAACAATGTCTTACTATAATGTAATTTGTTCTTTATCATATTTTACTTTTTTTAGATTCTGTAGTGTGGTGACAGCTCCATTCTCCCAGTGATTTAATTAGTTGGTACGTGGGCTTAGAGTTAGTGGCCATGGTGATTTCCTGTGGTTAAAAGTGAGCCAGCGTCATGGGTCAAGCCAGTTATCTGGTTAAGCCACCAGTCTTGCTTTGTGACACGGGCGCCAGAGAGATTTAACAAATTTGCGTTTCTACTGACTTTGGGACTGTACATGTAGTATCAGCACGTGCATACAGATACATGAAATGCTTCAGAGAAAACTCACTCACTCACTCACTCACTTGCATCATCCAGCAGGACGTTCTCTGGTTTCAGGTCTCTGTAGATGATTCTGTGCTGGTGAAGGTGCTCCAGCCCACAGATGATCTGAGCTGTGTAGAAACTTTCTCTCTGCTCATCAAAACCAGGATTTTTTTCATACATATGAAACCTGAGAAACATACAGTTAAGGATGTTATAGTATTTTCAGAGGCCTCTCTGAAAAGTAGAAGAGAGAAGAGAAACTACTTGAGCTACTCTCTGACATGCAGCATGATGCACTTCAGGGTCTAGGCTGTATATTAGCTGTGAGGTTTATCTATCTTAGGCTGATTAGAAGAGATGAGGAGTGTAACACTGTTGTTAAATACAGAAACCTGTATGTAGCATGTGCTTTAAAGGAACAGTGTTGAGGTCAGTCTTTGGATATCAGTGTGTGTGTGTGTAAAGCTGGTTTTGGTGTTTATATAGAGCACCTGAGGTCTCCACCATTCATGATGGTCATAACTAGGCAGAGGTCAGTCTTGGTCTGGAAGGCGTAAGCCAGCGAGGATCTTTATCTTAACATCTTAACAGCCACTGTAGGTAAATCTTTGTTCAATAAAATGATTTATTAAATCATCAACTGACCATTAATACCCAATTTTTGGCATTTACTAACTGTACCATCGGGGTGGTGATGGAGCAGTGGATAAGACGCATGCCTTTGGTGTGAGAAACCTGGGTTCAACTCCCTACTGTGACACGTCCACCAATGTGTCCCTGAGCAAGACACTTAACTCGTAGTTGCACCCCATTTAACTATCTGCAACAATTAAAATTAATAAAGTTGTCAAATATTAAGTTGATCTGCAACAATATTGATAATTGATTAATCGGTTTGAGTAATTTCTTATGAAAACTTAGTCGCATTTCTCTGATTCCAGCTGAATATTTTGTGATTTCTTTACTCCTCGACGACACTAAACTGAATATCTTTGGTTTGTGGACAAAACAAGACATTTAAGAACTTTTCTGACTTTTGTGGACCAAACATCTAATAGATTAGTCAAGAAAATAATAATCAACAGATTAATCAACAATGAAAATAATTGTCAGTTGCAGCCCCACTTTACTAATGCTAATGTTAATTAATGTATTGCTGCTCAAAAGTCTCCTAATGCTCATTATAGGGATCCATAACATAACCTGTGACATCATGACCCTATCTCTACAGCGACTTGATGCACACGCACACACACACACACACACACACACAGTATCCATACAAATATGAGCAACAACCGGCTGCTAGATGAGGTGGCAGACAGGTGAGAGAGGTCTGTTTAATGTCTGTGAATGTAGAATCATTATTATAACCTTTTGCTTTCAAAACTTTGAGATACAGCTGATATTGATGACTTTACTATTAAAATGCAAAGTGTTTCTTTCCATTTTGTTCTTAAAAAACGTTACGTATACTTTTATAAAGCTTTCCTACTGTAGTGATATTATGGAAATTTAAGTGCAAAATATGTGAATGTAAATACTTTTTTTCTGGGCTAATACATTTTTCATTTTCATTAATGTTTGTATTAAATGTAATGTATACATTTATACTGTAGCAGTATAACAGGAGCTGTATTATAGTATTTACATTAACTGATTTGGCAGACCTGATGCATGCACGCTGATACTATATATATATATATATATATATATATATATATATATATAAACTTACTGTAAGAAAGGCGTCTTAGATTTTTAGATTGTTATACATTTTTTATATAGTGAATAGAACACATTATTTTTCTGTTACTGTTTTCTTTGTCAAAGTCTGTAAGCTGTAACAAAATGGGGAAAATCACCATCCACATTTTCTATGTGCTTCCTCCATTGCAGATTTCAAAGTTTCATTTTAAAACAGTGTGAGCCCTGAACTCCTGAGTCCTGCAAATGGGATATCTGTGGTTATAAGTGTGCACAGGTTAGGATGTTTATTTTTTAATTATCATAAAATGTAAATATATTTTTCTATAATGAAAGGTGGTTAATTCCAGCCTGTCATGCATTTTATGTACTCATCTGTATCCCCTATGCTGCAAGTCTTTCTGTCAGTATAAGTTGTTATACATGTACATTTTATGTGCAGGTTCTACTTGTGCCTTGTAGTGCATCATACAGTTGTTTGGTACACCAGGTGTAGAGAGCATCCCTGAAACAACACTTGAGTAAAATAGTTTGTTAACATCAGATTTTATTTCTGTGTTCCTTCAGACTGTCAGGAGGAGATGCTGGCGATGCTCAACTCCACCTCCTCCAGCCCCGTGGACCTGCTGATGAGTAATACCAGCTCTGCACTGACAGGGGGCGCTGTGGCCGTGCCTAAAGACAGCTTCTCTAATGCTCTCACCAAGAACATAGTGGCCATGCTGGTATGGCTGGCCCTCAGTTTCATCAACGGCAGCATGGTGCACACCTTCCTACGCTACAGGTAGACACAAAGACTGATGCAAAACTGTGTCACAGTATTTTCACACCATGTAACGTTTAACCCTGTAATATATTTAAAAAGAAGCACCAAAGCAAAACATGCAAAACAAATGTAAATGCATTTATCAATTACTCTTCAGCCACCAATCTCTCTATAGTGTTGGAAGTGTCTCTTCTTTGTTAACATATCTGTGTCACACCGAGGCGATTTGACCTCGTGATGAAAAGTAATTTCCCACACAAGCACAACGCTTTAACTTCAGTCCGCTTGTTGAGGGTAACTATTTCAGTAGTGTAGAGCTGAAACAGTTGGTTAATTATTAATTTGGTGATCAAAGCAATCAAGCAAATTAATTGACTTTTTACTCTCCCATGTGACAGTAAACTGACTTTCTGGGATTTTGGACAAGTTTCATTGGTCGATCAAACTTTTGCTGACACTGGTTCATAGTAAAGAACAACTGATGGCAGGAATCAAGTAACAGATTCATATTTTCAGAACTCACCATGTAGTTCTGTGGTTTCGCTCACTTTTCTCTGAGCCCTCTGCTTTTTTGTTCTGTTTTTGTACAGTAAAGATGTTAAATTGTAGGTGGCGACATTAAGTTTGTCCTCCATTTCTTATCTTCAATGACGTCAGAGGAACCTCACCGCTGATAGGCATTCACAGCGTCAGGAACATTTTCAGCTCGCTCTGATGCATCTATGTAATCATGCTTTGCGTTTGGTCTGAATGCACCTTAATGAAAGTTTTCTAATGAAGTCTGCATCTCTCTCAGCTCTCGTTTATCTCTGACCCTAGACTCTTCTATGAGAACCCCCGGTACATCATGTTCATCTGCATGGTGGTCAACGACGCCCTGCAGCTAAGCCTGGTAACAGCTCTCTACGTGGTCAGCTACATCTTCAGGAAGATCCACACGTCTGTCTGCTGCTTTCTGGTAAGTCATTACTACGTCAACTTCATGCACTGGGTTCTGTTAAACCCCTTTTACGTGCTTTGCAGGTCAGGTGTGAACAGGAGCCGCATATTAATCTATTTGGAAAAGCTGATTCTGCAGTCACCTGTGTGACACGGCATGAACTTTCAGGGTCCTGGGTCCAAGACTAACATGTTTGAAATATGGATGGACATTTTAAACACAACATCCTGTCCCTCGCCTTCCCTGGACCGCCATGTGTGGATTCCTTCTACACAGAATCTGATTTTATGAATGAAGGGAATAACTAGTGCTGCACTTTCACAGGTTGTGTTAAGATACTGCTTTGGGGCAGCTTTGATTCCAGGTCAGACACAAGCAGATCTAGTGAGTCACAAATAATAACCCAATAATAAGTTATGTGTTCGTGCCTTTTAAAAGTGGCCTTGTAGACGAGCATGAACGGGTACCTGCTGCGAGTGTGAAGGATCTTTATTTTTATTATAGTACAACTTTGTAAAACTTGCTGAAAACAAAAATGCAGCTCTCTTCAGCTTTTCTCCTGCTCTTCCCTTAACCCACTCATCTGACACCCCAACTGTGTTTCCCTCAGATCATGACAGCGGTCCTCACCACCCGCTCCACCCCTCTCATCCTGGCCGGCATGGCCGTGGAGCGCTACATCTCCATCTGCTTCCCCTTGCACTACAGCCAGATTTGCACCGTCCCTCGCACCCTCCTCCTCATCTGTGCCATCCTCATCCTCACCTTCACTCCGCCCATCACTGACCTCCTCATCACCATCGTCAACGAGCCTCTAAGTTACTTCAACAGCACCATTTTTTGTGACCACCCACTTCTGTTTCGCCACCCGTCCATCTACTACAAGAACTGTGTGTTTGACGGGGTGTACCTGTCCTTTGTGGCTCTGACGCTGCTCTACACCTACTGTAAGATCATGCTGGCAGCACAAGCGGCCTCAACAAGCCTGGTCTCTGTGAAGAGAGCGAGGAACACTGTGCTGCTCCATGGGGTGCAGGTGGGTGTCATAGGAAGAAAGGGAATATGTATCTAACAACATTATTGATGACGCCACTGAGCCACGTCTACAATACCAAGGCCACACCTAAAAGAAATGCAGATGTTATTTATTTGATTAGTTTGTGTTTGACGTGTCAAAATGTCCTTCTTGAGAAATCTCCTAAAGTTTATCCCCTTAAAAGGACAAAAGTTCAAGAGATTAACAAAATAATTTTAACATATGTTTAATAAAGTGTATGAAATATTTCTACATAGATACAGATTCACCCAGTGCAGCAAATAATTATGTTCAATATTAATTAATCTGACAATTACTTTCTCAATTATTTGATTGATTAATTTGATCTATAAAGTGTCAGAAAATTCTGGAAAATGGCAATCACAAAGCCCAGGGGGACACCTTCAAATTTTTATTTTGTCCGAAACACAGATTTTCAGTTCACAATAATATAAAAACAAAGAAATATAGTTCATATTTGAGTTTGGCATTTTAGCGTCATTAATGACGAATGATCAATTGATGATTTGTTTAATTTTTAGATTCAACAGGCATTAATCTTGAACGGATTACACAAATATTGTCCTTTTAATCAAACTGCATATAATTAGCGATGGGTAGATTGCTTGCTCACACTTGATGGCATTTGATGCCCAAAGCTACTCACTAATACAATATTTTTCCGTTGCAGACTTTTTATACACATGAAATATTTTTTTACTTTATAGATCATATGTGTGTAGAAGTTGAAAGACCTAAGACCTTCGAATGTCCCATTTTCCCCACCCTCTCTTGTTTCAGCTGCTGCTGTGCATGCTTGCCTTTGTGGTTCCTTCCCTCCAGGCTGCTCTCATCTCCCTCTTCCCCCTAATGAGTCTGGAGATCCGATACATCTTTTTCCTGGTCGTCTACATCATCCCCCGTTTCCTGAGCCCTGTGATCTACGGTTGTCGGGACGAGCAGTTCAGGAAGTACTTGATCCGGGACCTGGTTTGTCGGAGCCAAAGTCTCACCAGGGTCAGATCGGTGTAGCTGAAAGTGAACCCGTAGGTGAAATAACCACATCAGGCAACCAGATCTTCTTGATCTCCTGGACCAGCCCAGATTTTATAGCTCTGCTGCATTAATGTGGTTTGCATTCATGGCCTTCTGTACGGTGATGGACAAGTATAATAGGGACAATTATTTTCAGAATAAAACTTTTATCACTGCTTTTGGCAAGTGTTTCTGCTCATGTTTAAATAATCTGAATAAGACACACAGGTGGCTGTATGGATAGACTCCCGGTGAAAATGTAAATATATTTCATGGACTTACTGAAATACTGAATACAACTTCAGAAGCTGTACAATATCATCAAATTTGTTTATAAAGCACCTTAAACAAAGCATTATGGGAACTGTGATGTTTAAATCTTGCAGCTAAGACTTCATATAACAGGCCATTACTGCACACACGCATTTTGCATGCTTAGTCATAACTGGAAAATACATAAATATGGAATATTGCTGTTAAAACAGGTTGTTTAAACAGGCCATTTACATTAACCTTTAAACTAATGGTGTCACAGGAAAAAAGCTTTGAGGAAGTTGAGCGAATCAGATCCTTTACTGATGCAGTCCCAAAAGTTGAACATATATATTTAACCCATCTTTAACAAATGAATCCAGCATATAAAATTCAATTATACAGCAGTAAACTGCAGGCGGCAGTTTCTTTTAGGAAGAAATAATGCACATATTTATCTTGAACTTCCTAACGGTACTACAAACTATATTACCTCATTAGATGCAAAGTAAAGATCACACATGGACAACTGAAAATCTCTCATTCATAGACACATTTAAATATTTAGATTCAGACGGTGCAGTATTACTAATATTTCATTTAGAATTATATAGACCGTAAAAAAAAAAAAAAAACACACATTGGAGAAACTAAAAAAGATTAAATATTTGGCATTTCCGCTTGAAAACGTACTCAAATAATTATTCAATTAGCAAAACAGATGCTGACCGTTGGTGCTGGTTGTGTCTGTGAGGAGACACTGATGATAATTAAAAAACATTAGTCCAATAAAACACAGCACAGTACATTAAGCAGTATAACCCAGCAGTGTAAACTTCACCTCAGTTGTTTGATTTGTTTGCTTTGAGGTCAGAGTGCGACTGGCTTAACTTCTCTTTGGTTTGTTCTCCCGGAGGCCTGAACATTTAGTCTTTCAGGGGTATTACAGCGGTCACGTCTGACTGGTTCGTAGTCCACCTGTTAATACATCATCATATGGTGACTCCTCTATGCTTTGAAAAAAGTGCGATAAAGTCAAACTATGAAGACAAATAGATTTTTACGTTCATGACAGCAATGGTCCCAGATGACCAGCTGCTTGTGTTGGGTCATAATGGATTAAATGTTTATTTTACAACCACTAAAACAATCTCCCTACCTCAGTCCCTTCAGCTAGCTCCCCGCCTCTCCAAAAATAATCTCACCTCACTGAGGATGTCTATATAACAGCATGTCTTCCTGTTCCTCTCACTACTTTGTGGCAGTTGTTCAGCCTGATATCTCAACATAAATCGGACCAGTGTGCTGTGGAAGTATGTATGATTTTTTTCCCCTTTAATTTTGCATTTAAAAGTTTATCTTAAAAAGTTATAAAGAGCTGCAGTGCCAGAAGAATAATAGCTGACATCTCAGCACATTTAAAACTGAACAGGCATTGTTAAATTTGCTATTTGCTGTCTTTTACAATATTATTGTTTCTGTGTGAAGGGAAATAAGAGAGAAGCTACTTGTCCTGACAAAAGAGAAATGTTATATCCAACAGAACATTTAAAACAAAGTTTAGTCAATTCATAGGTCATGCAGCCTCAGTCAAAAAAAAACATCTTTAATTTTTTATATGTTTACTCTCAATTGTGCCAGTTATTACAAAACATAAAATAATTTATATTCGTTCAACTTTTCTTCCTTTACAAATCTAGAAAGATATCTGGGTGGAATATTTTAATGTAGCTTACTAACCATAAATATGGTAATTTCTTTTTTAGTATTTTAATAAATCACAACTTGTAGTTTTAATGTATTTGTAAGCTCTCTTATAATTTAGATCCTACTTTATTCTGACTTTATCTTTGTCAGTGTTCCTTAAAATCATATTAGCTCTTTGTATTTTGTACTACCTTTGAATCGATCTAGTGCAGTCTTTGTAAAGCATTTTATCTGAATTGACCCATTTCCAGCACAGCCAGAAATTAAATTCTATATTTCATGTTATTGTTTTAATATGTTTGTTGACTCATTTGTGGAATTGATCGGAGAGGGGGTTTGATTCACTAAACAATAACAGACACTGGAAGATCGTTCCTCCAGCACTGCCTGAACCGAGCTCTGGTTTCTCGGCACCAAGCGGGACGAGGTATGAACTCGACCACACGTCTGGACAGCTTCAGTGAAGCTTTCTCAAAACACGCCATCACCGTTGGTCTCGCCTTAATCATCAACTGCATCAATGGAGCTTTTGTCTACACCTACTTTCAGAGCCAGGTCTTCCAGAGAGACTCCAGGTGACAGACAGACCGCAAATATGATGAGATGTGATGTTCATATCTGCTGAACTGGCCAAAGTTGGTCTTATAATTTGATTTATCTTACCCCATGTTGTGATTGTGACTGATGTCGTGATTTGAACTTACTTAGGAGCAGAGTTCAATATGATTAAATCTCTTGACTCTCCTTCCTGTAACTACTCTGCTCTTCCCTCCTGCAGATACGTGCTCTACATACATTTGGTGATCAACGACATGATTTTGCTGACAATTTCTGTGGCGCTGCAAATCATGACCTACACCATTCACCTGAGCTTTACTCCCTGCTGCCTCATGCTGCTCGTCTTAGTCACCACTAACAAGTAGGTGTTTGTGTTCAACAGAATGTCCGAGATTGCAGCGACATGGACTCTTTCAAATCCCTTATCAAAATTAGACTAGCTTTTAACATCAAATAATGTTATTTTACACCTGCTGCTGTTTGTTATTTATATGGTTGCCACTTGCTCTTATGTATTTCCGTACCACATGTTTTTATCTACTGTTTGTATATTTTATGCTATTTATGTTTTTAAATCGGTTTAAATGTACAGTGAGGAAAATAAGTATTTGAACTCCCTGCTATTTTGCAAGTTCTCCCACTTAGAAATCATGGAGGGGTCTGAAATTGTCATCGTAGGTGCATGTCCACTGTGAGAGACATAATCTAAAAAAATAAATCCAGAAATCATCATGATTTTTTAACTATTTATTTGTATGATACAGCTGCAAATAAGTATTTGAACACCTGTCTACCAGCTAGAATTCTGACTCTCAAAGACCTGTTAGTCTGCCTTCAAAATGTCCACCTCCACTCCATTTATTATCCTAAATTAGATGCACCTGTTTGAGGTCGTTAGCTGCATAAAGACACCTGTCCACCCCATACAATCAGTAAGAATCCAACTACTAACATGGCCAAGACCAAAGAGCTGTCCAAAGACAATCTTTACAAATGTATTTATGACTGAGATGTTTCAGGGAGATTTCAGAACAAATGAAAACAGATTTTTAACCCCTTTCCTAAGTTGAAAAACCCTGTTTCCTAACCTAAACAAAGATTGTGCTCAGAAATGACATATGCTGAATCATTTTTAAAACCAAAATATAAAACTTGTCTTATCAGTTACATTTGTCTGTGTGATGTGTTATTTTGAGGGGACAGCAAATTTACAAGCTGTACACTACTTTACATTGTAGCACATTTCTTTAGTGTTGTCACATGAAAAGATATAAGTATTTACAAACATGCGTGGGGTGTACTCCGAAACTTCTAATTTTACATTTTGGAAGAAAAGGGCATACATTTAAAAAAATGTTTTATCGTGCAGCAAACAGTGTATTGTCTCATCCAATTGTTTTTTTTAGGAATAGCGGTAAGTGTTGTTAGACAACCTGCTGGGAGTTTTCAAACATTGCAGGGTAATTATTATCAATAAACTGAGGATTTGCTGCTTTTCTTTGTCTTATGTGATAAACTGAATATCTTTGGGTTGGTCGGATTTATTTATTTTACCTCTGGTGTAGCAATCACTTTTAAAATAATTTTCTGCTATTCTGATATTAAAAGATTAATCAATCTGTTGAAAAATAAGCTACAGATTAATAAATAAAAATCATTCAGCTTCACAGGAAAAGGATGGGTGGATTAAACCAACAGGGGGCCATGGGAGCAAAAATAAACTGTTGGCCCCTTTGGATAAACTTGTAAATTATGTCTGAGCTGTTTGCATGTAGGTAAAGGTAGAGTGTGTAATAAAGTATGCAGAAAGCTAAATGCATGATCTAACCAGCATCCTGGAGGAAATGTACTCCAGCCAGCAGAACATTTAGCTTCATGTTGTGGTGAGCAATCAGGTAAAAGGTTAGGTACATAGTGTCTGATCCCAAATATAATGTGACTCTGTAAATACCTAAAACTCACAGTAGATGTCCACACCTCTTTACTCCAGTAAATCTGGATTAAAAAGAGCTAAACAAATCAAATATGGTGTGTTTTTATTTGTCTTCATCCAGGAACAGCCCTCTGAACCTGGCTGGCATGGCACTCGAGCGTTACATTGCTGTTTGCCGACCTCTGCATCACGTCCAGATCTGTACTGTGCAGCGAGCCTACGCTCTCATTGCACTGATCTGGGTAGTCTCCTTCATCCCGGGCCTCTCAGATGTCATCATCCTCCTCGCCACTCAGCCCCTCTCTGTCTTTGCAAAGAGTGTCCTCTGTCACTATTCCTCCGTGTACAACACACCGTACCACAGAGCACAAAGTGCAGCTGTCCAGGTGAAACAGTGATTGTTACGTGATGGATGTTCTTCCTGATATCAGCCGTTTCTGTTTCCTGTGTGAGCAGGTTGTTTTTGTTTTCAGTTTTAATGTCTTTACTCATGTCAGGTATCAGATTAAAGTGTCTTCACGTGTTCCTCTCAGGTCCTTTTGTTTACCTTCGTCTTCCTGACTGTGATCATCACCTACCTGAAGGTCCTCAGCACGGCCCGGACAGTTTCTGGTTGTAATCAGGCCTCGGCCAGAAACGCCCGCAACACTATCCTGCTGCACGGAGTCCAGCTCTTCCTCTGCATGCTGTCATTCATCTCTCCCTTCATCACTGTCACTTTAATCACAGCCTGGCCCCCTGAAACCACCAAGATCCTTTTCTCTGGCTTCCTGTTGACCAATGTGCTTCCACGTCTGCTCAGTTCGCTCATCTACGGCGTCAGAGACAAGAAGTTCAGCAGCCAAGTCAGGCAGCACTTCTTCTGTAAAGGCTGCAGCTCTGTAGAAAAGACCTAATGGTAGGAGCCCGCAGAAGGTCCAAACGGGTGTTACACTGGAGGGCCTTAAAACACTATATGTTGCAAGATTTTTTTTTTAATGGGCTAAAACCTGCAACACAGACTACATAGTCTGATGCATTTGGCCCAAATGTTACCTTTAAAAAGGGAAAAGCTAAATTTCGGTCTCAATGAATGTATAAAAGTTTCATTCCATATTGTACATGTTTATGAACTGCAGTAGCACAATGTAAACCAGCTTTTGCTAAATTCTCCAAAATACTGTGTGACTGTTTACTGTCAGTGTCCCAAAGGGTAGCTCAGGGTGCAGGAAATAAAAAAACATTCAAGATTCAGTGACTTTAGCCATTGCTCTTATTAAAAGTGAATGTGTTATCTTCAAATTATTCTAAACAGCCTCAAAAGGTAAAAAGTTTAACTTAATTGTCATTTCAACTATGAAAATGAAAATTACAGCTAAGGTGAAACTTTGGGAAACTTCTTCAGGATCAGAACACAAAAACAACAGCATAAAACATCAAAATGAAAAAAAATAGCTAAAGCTCTTAGGTGCATCAGAAAAACAGATTATAATGATCATTGTTACATATGAACAGTTCTTGTATCAACCTGAGTGAATCTGAAAAAGATATTCTTTTGAAGACTACTACTTCTAATCCTCACTGAATTTATGTTTCACTTCGAGGACCTCTACACCACTGACCCCAACGATGAGTTATGTTTGTTCCTTAAGAAAACACCTTATTGAGCGCATGCATGTACAGATGGCTAATTTGCACAGTTGAATATGTGTGCACTTGCTCTATAACTCTTATTTATCTTCCATTTACACACATGAATAGCTTGACTCTGCAAACCGTTTGCTTATGCTGTAGCCTATACTACTAGCTACTCAGGTGATGTGCTACCCTCACCTGAGATTCTGTTACTCTAGCATGTCATGCAGCCTATTAAATGCAGTTTCATGGCGGAGCCACAGCAATCTTAAAGATTGTCTTTAAACCGTATCATGAACTTCATTTTTTAATCAGCTCATTAACTTGTCAGACATTTCTCTGACACTGAGCTCACCTGTCTGTAAGAATGCAAGCTAATGCTACGAACAGCTGTTCCTTTACACTTTCGTTCTTCTCGATGGCGTAATTAGCTTTTCGGGGTATTTTTGTTTAGTAATATGGTTGTTTGGTAAAAACAATTTCAGTTGACTCATGTTAGTTATTGCTAGTTTGCTAACAATAACAGTGAAGAGACACTGTTGACTTCATATTGTCCAGATTACTGGTGAAGGGTTAATGACAAATGTTTTTGCAAATGACTTCCACTGTAGACACCTGATGATAATAAAAAAACATTAGTCCAATAAAACACAGCACAGTACATTAAGCAGTATAACCCAGCAGTGTAAACTTCACCTCAGTTGTTTGATTTGTTTGCTTTGAGGTCAGAGTGCGACTGGCTTAACTTCTCTTTGGTTTGTTCTCCCGGAGGCCTGAACATTTAGTCTTTCAGGGGTATTACAGCGGTCACGTCTGACTGGTTCGTAGTCCACCTGTTAATACATCATCATATGGTGACTCCTCTATGCTTTGAAAAAAGTGCGATAAAGTCAAACTATGAAGACCAATACATTTTTACGTTCATGACAGCAATGGTCCCAGATGACCAGCTGCTTGTGTTGGGTCATAATGGATTAGATGTTTATTTTACAACCACTAAAACAATCTCCCTACCTCAGTCCCTTCAGCTAGCTCCCCGCCTCTCCAAAAATAATCTCACCTCACTGAGGATGTCTATATAACAGCATGTCTTCCTGTTCCTCTCACTACTTTGTGGCAGTTGTTCAGCCTGATATCTCAACATAAACCGGACCAGTGTGCTGTGGAAGTATGTATGATTTTTTTCCCCTTTAATTTTGCATTTAAAAGTTTATCTTAAAAAGTTATAAAGAGCTGCAGTGCCAGAAGAATAATAGCTGACATCTCAGCACATTTAAAATTGAACAGGCATTGTTAGATTTGCTATTTGCTGTCTTTTACAATATTATTGTTTCTGTGTGAAGGGAAATAAGAGAGAAGCTACTTGTCCTGACAAAAGAGAAATGTTATATCCAACAGAACATTTAAAACAAAGTTTAGTCAATTCATAGGTCATGCAGCCTCATTCAAAAAAAACATCTTTAATTTTTTATATGTTTACTCTCAATTGTGCCAGTTATTACAAAACATAAAATAATTTTTATTCGTTCAACTTTTCTTCCTTTACAAATCTAGAAAGATATCTGGGTGGAATATTTTAATGTAGCTTACTAACCATAAATATGGTAATTTCTTTTTTAGTATTTTAATAAATCACAACTTGTAGTTTTAATGTATTTGTAAGCTCTCTTATAATTTAGATCCTACTTTATTCTGACTTTATCTTTGTCAGTGTTCCTTAAAATCATATTAGCTCTTTGTATTTTGTACTACCTTTGAATCGATCCAGTGCAGTCTTTGTAAAGCATTTTATCTGAATTGTCCCATTTCCAGCATAGCCAGAAATTAAATTCTATATTTCATGTTATTGTTTTAATATGTTTGTTGACTCATTTGTGGAATTGATCTGAGAGGGGGTTTGATTCACTAAACAATAACAGACACTGGAAGATCGTTCCTCCAGCTCTGCCTGAACCGAGCTCTGGTTTCTCGGCACCAAGCGGGACGAGATATGAACTCAACCACACGTCTGGACAGCTTCAGTGAAGCTTTCTCAAAACACGCCATCACCGTTGGTCTCGCCTTAATCATCAACTGCATCAATGGAGCTTTTGTCTACACCTACTTTCAGAGCCAGGTCTTCCAGAGAGACTCCAGGTGACAGACAGACCGCAAATATGATGAGATGTGATGTTCATATCTGCTGAACTGGCCAAAGTTGGTCTTATAATTTGATTTATCTTACCCCATGTTGTGATTGATGTCGTGATTTGAACTTACTTAGGAGCAGAGTTCAATATGATTAAATCTCTTGACTCTCCTTCCCGTAACTACTCTGCTCTTCCCTCCTGCAGATACGTGCTCTACATACATTTGGTGATCAACGACATGATTTTGTTGACACTTTCTGTGGCGCTGCAAATCATGACCTACACCATTCCCCTGAGCTTTACTCCCTGCTGCCTCATGCTGCTCGTCTTAGTCACCACCGACAAGTAGGTGTTTGTGTTCAACAGAATGTGTTTATTATTCAGCAGATGTGCTTTGGGGGGGGGGCTTCTTGATTCTAGTATTTCCAATGCATACAGTACATGTTTTACTATGTTCGTATCTTAAACGTGAATTGAAGTGAAGTCAGTTTTATTTATATAGCCCAATCTCACAAATCACAATTTGCCACATGATTTACAATCTACAGCATTCAACACCCTACACGTTTATTTATGACTGTTTGAAATGAGAATCCTCCTCCAAATAAAGTCAAGAAACCATATCACTGAGCCACTTCTTAAAAACAAGGAACGGATGTAGGTTTCTATTCTCTCAACTGCAGTTTCAGGAAGATTTCAGAACAAAGAAAACTGATTTTTAACCCATTGCCACACTGTTTCCCAACCCAAGATGGTGGTCAGAAATGACGTATGCTTAATCATTTAAAAATAAAAAATAAAACTTGTCTTATCAGTTATATTTGTCTGTATTCAGGTAACCTTAATACATAAATATAAAATACACTGCGAACAGTGTATTTTATAATTTGTTTTTGAGGACTCTAAAAATGCCTTGAGATTGCTGAGATTTCTCAAAATTTGCTGGGTAATTGTTTTTGAAATATAAGTAAACCACAGAATAGGAGCTTCCTCACTTGATGTGAATTTTATGAAGAATAAAAGCTGTCACATAAAATCAGATGATATCAGTCAAAATAATTTTCTAATCTCCTACTGTGTGGGAGTGTGGAAAAAAATGATTACTATTAAATACCAGAACTTAACCAGTACAATAATGAACTAGGCTACAAATGCAAAGAAATAGGCCTACAACACATGAGCTACATGACAGGACAGGAGCATATGAGCAGAAACCAGCAGCCTCAGCAGAAAGCAGACATTTTCATAAAGAGAAACACAAACTGAACCATCAACTCACTTGACTTAGCTAAGCCTAAGTCTACTTACAGTGGCCTTGTGATGTGAAGCAATGATCCTCGGGGTCTCGATATGTAGAGGAAATCGTTTGGGAACAGTCTCCGGGGTCTTCAATTATCCACATCTGGACAAGAAACTCTGGTTAATACCAACAGAGAACAGTGAGGGCTGACGAACAGCGTCGCCGACATTACTAATGGCCCGCGAAACGGCCCGCGAACAGTCTTCGACTAGACTAACTGCCGACGAACACAGTCGCCCACAGCGTGAACGCGGCCGCCAACATGGCGAGCGAACACAGAGGTGGAGCAACAACAGCAGCAGAGTTTGTGGAGGCCGCACCAAACCGATGGTCCGAGAACTGTCAGTTTAATTAGCCGCCTTTAGCCTAAGGTGCGTTAGATTTGAGTGTCAGCCAGTCAAGTAACCTGTGTCAAGTGTAGAGGAGGAAGTACAGGTGCCTGCAGGTGACAAATTAAAGAGTTGGTATCATGCTCGTTTTCTGGTTCGTTATCTCATTTAGGGGTTGTAGGCCTTTAAGAAAAGGTTTACATAGTAAAGCATAATACCACCTCTTTAAATGAAAAAACTGCATAAATGAGTGGAGATAGAAATGTTACAATCTTTAGAGCTGCCATTATTAGTTTAATCATTAATTAGACAATTAGACAGATAATTAATATGCAGCTATTTTGATAGATGACCAATCAAATATTTTAAAGTAAAAATACCAACTTCTCTATATTGAGGATTTCCTTTTTTTTCTATCTTTGGGTTGGTCAGATAAAACAAGCCATTCAGAAATGTTACCTCTGGTGTAGCAAGCATTTTTATTGTAATTTTCTGATATTCTACAAACCAAAAGATTAATCAATTAATTGAAAAACAGATTAATAAATAATATTTGTTAGTTGTAGTCCAGTTGGCTTCACTGGAAAAGGATGACTGGATTAAACCAATGGTGGGGAATGGGAGCAAAATTATTGGCTAAACTTGTTAACTTGGATGTAATGGCTGAGCTGTGGTAATGTAAAGGTATGAAATATGCAGAATGCTAAATTAATGTATCTAACCAGCACAGTAGATGTCCACACCTCTTTACTCCAGTAAATCTGGATTAAAAAGAGCATAAAAAGATTAAACAAATCAAATATGGTGTGTTTTTATTTGTCTTCATCCAGGAACAGCCCTCTGAACCTGGCTGGCATGGCACTCGAGCGTTACATTGCTGTTTGCCGACCTCTGCATCACGTCCAGATCTGTACTGTGCAGCGAGCCTACGCTCTCATTGCACTGATCTGGGTAGTCTCCTTCATCCCGGGCCTCTCAGATGTCATCATCCTCCTCGCCACTCAGCCCCTCTCTGTCTTTGCAAAGAGTGTCCTCTGTCACTATTCCTCCGTGTACAACACACCGTACCACAGAGCACAAAGTGCAGCTGTCCAGGTGAAACAGTGATTGTTACGTGATGGACGTTCTTCCTGATATCAGCCGTTTCTGTTTCCTGTGTGAGCAGGTTGTTTTTGTTTTCAGTTTTAATGTCTTTACTCATGTCAGGTATCAGATTAAAGTGTCTTCACGTGTTCCTCTCAGGTCCTTTTGTTTACCTTCGTCTTCCTGACTGTGATCATCACCTACCTGAAGGTCCTCAGCACGGCCCGGACAGTTTCTGGTTCTAATCAGGCCTCGGCCAGAAACGCCCGCAACACTATCCTGCTGCACGGAGTCCAGCTCTTCCTCTGCATGCTGTCATTCATCTCTCCCTTCATCACTGTCACTTTAATCACAGCCTGGCCCCTTGAACGCACCAAGATCCTTTTCTCTGGCTTCCTGTTGACCAATGTGCTTCCACGTCTGCTCAGTTCGCTCATCTACGGCGTCAGAGACAAGAAGTTCAGCAGTCAAGTCAGGCAGCACTTGTTCTGTAAAGGCTGCAGCTCTGTAGAAAAGACCTAATGGTAGGAGCCCGCAGAAGGTCCAAACGGGTGTTACACTGGAGGGCCTTAAAAGACTATATGTTGCAAGATTTTTTTAATGGGCTAAAACCTGAAAAAAAGACTTGCTCGGATGCCTTCAGGCCAAGATGTTATCTAAAAGCTACTTGGGTTGTATGTATGTATGTATAAAAGTTAAAGTCCATAATAGCAATTCTCTGAAATACTGTGTGACTTTTTACCGTCAGTGTGCAGGAAAAGAAAGAAACATTATAAATTAAGTCACTTTAGCCATTGCTCTCATTAAAACTTAATGTATTATCTTCAAATGATTCTAAACATGTGAACAGCCTTAAAATATAAAACTGTTCAAGTTCAGGTTTTATTCAATTGTTAATTCAACAATGAACAAAATACACAATAAAAAGCAACAAAACATAAATAGATAATAAAGATAGATAATAAAAACAAATAAAGCTCATGAGTGCATCAGAAAAACAGATTGTAAAGAATCCGTGTTACATATACAAAAGACATTCTTCCTAAGACTACGACTTCTAATCCTCACTGATATTTTTCACTTTCACCACTGACCCTGAGTTCTGTTTGTGCCTTAACCCTTGTGTTGTCCTCACTTTTGGGACCCTCTGGTATCCCTCGGGTCACATTGACCGGGGACATATTTGGGTTTTTAAAAAGAATTCTGAAATAAATTTTTACTTCATGAACCATAAACATGTATTGTCTTTATCTCAATTTCAAACAATTAAGATAACGTAAATGCTTAAGAAATCACCTTAATGAGCACATGTACACAGATTTGGGTACGTAGGATAGTGAGGGCGTAGGTCTGATTCCAACTTCAGATAGCTAACAGTTGTATATGTGTGCATATCGCTTTATAACACTTATTTCTCTTCCATTTACACACACGAATAGCTTGAATCTGCAAAATGTTTGCTTACGCTGTAGCATGGAATTTGTCTAAAACAGGACTTGTCTCATACAATACTTCCTGCAGCCAGTACAATGTTTGTTTTTTTATGGCAGAGCAATACTTAAACATTAATGTTACCTTTAAACCATCTCAAAAACTATGTGACAATGTGACATGACATGTGACAGCTCACCTGCCTGCGAGAGTGCTGCAGGCTGCCAGGATATTACTGATAAAAGGATGCACAAAGGAATCAATTGGACAAACTGTGGCTAATTTACCACATATATAATGTCCATAACATAATGACACATTCAAAAACACACCTTCAGGTCCACTGGTGAAAAGAGTTGGGATGTTAGTTCTTAAATATAAATCCTACACCTTAATGAAGATGATGAACATTTGGATTGGTTGTTTGCCCTGTAGACTTCATGTTTTCTAGATCAGCGGTTTTCAAAGTGTGAGGACGGCCTCCCCAGGTGGGGCTCCAAACTGTTTCAGGGGCTCAGTAAATAGAAGGAAAACAGTATTTCACTTTAGTTATCAAAAGGAGATTGTATAGTATAGCCTAGGTGTGTGTTATCTGGTTAAAGAGAGAGTTCAGTAGTTTGGGGAAACAGTTTTTCCCACTTTCCCAGAGTCAGGAACTAATAAATGCCCTAGGACAGACCTTTTTTTTAACTGTTTTTCGGGCGCCCACAGACTCAATCATTTATGATGATTTATGATGAAAATATTTGCAACATCACCTTCTTGTAAAAACATACACTTAATCATTTTAACTGTCAGCCTCTCTCCATTAAACTGCCAAACCATCCATCCAACCGCTTATCCTGCGTACAGGCTGGAGCCAATCCCAGCTGACAGGGTCACACATGGACAAACAACCACACCTAAGGACAATTTAGGGTCACCAATTAACGTATTCCGCATGTCTTTGGGCGGTGGGAGGAGAGGTACTCCCATGCAGACAGAAATGCAGGAGCAACCCGGGGTTTGAACCCGCTACCTGCCAAACTGCCAAACTCACATGAAAAAGTACAGCAGGAAAGATAACAGATTCTTGACTTGTGGTTCTGCTGTGTGCAGTAAACACTGTAGTTTAGGAAAGAAGAAAAGCGGGGGATAGAGGAAGGAGAGGCCTCAGCACTCAGATGCAAAACCAGATTTTAGCCACAAGATGGACCCATCCTTACACACATACAGGAGTCTAAACTGCAGCTTCCAAAGATAAAATATTAATAAAATAACAAATACATTGCGGAATGGGAAGATTTTAATTTGTTTTATTGAATCAATAGGGCCTTTAACAGCGCATGCGGTGTTGGCACCAGAGAGGAAGTGTTCAGACTTTATCTTAATGAGAAAAAGTGAAAAGTCAGCTATATAAGTTAAAGGGAAAATTGCAACGTCTCTATGGATTTTAGAGGCACATTAAAGTAATTTGAAAAATCACTTAAATGACACCAGAGATTTAATACAATTTCACTTAGGACCACACATACACACTCATAAAATCCCAGTTGTGATATAAGGAATATTAGTGAGGCCAGAGGAAATAGAAATAACCACGAGGCCACTTATAAAACGCATTACTGACCACAGCAGTCTCAGTGGCTCTATAAAAGCAGAAAAATATAATCAAACTTGCTCTAAACAAAAGACCGAGTGCCGCAAACACATCATAAAAACAACTCTGTCCGTGGTCAGTATATTAAATGTATTTCTCGCTCGGAGAGATGCTGTTCCGGAATGTGACGGAAAAAGCCGAAGACTCCGTCTGAGAGAAGAAGACAGACCAACAGTGACTCAGATGGAGGAAACCTGCGCGCCCACAGCTGCCTGCGTTACCTCCTCCCAACACTTTATTGTTTCAGGCAGACGAAAGGTAGTCTCTAAAGTTTTTAGCAGAAGAAGCACGCGGATTTTTGTCGACATCAAACGCTTCGTGTGTGAAAGTTTTGTCCTTTTTTAGTCGTGGAAGTGTAAAAACTTAGAAACGCATCATGGGGTGAATCTGACATCTGAGGAGGATGCTGATCAGGTGATGAAAGAGTATCGTGACCAAACTCACAGGTAAGTCTCAATAAAAGATAGCACATTGTATTAATGTAACAGCATATTGTAGTGTCAGTAAATATAGACTATTTAAAATGCGATTAATTAATCATTGAGGCCTGTTAAAGGTGACAGCTGCCGCACCTTCTCCACTTTACTGTGCGTCCCGGCCATGTGAAGTTTCTCTGTGTTGTTGAGTTCACTGATTCACTCTGTATGAACGCGTTTCAGTGAGATTGTTTATTGGAGGTGTATTTTCCACCCCTGTGATTTCAAGCCGCAGCGCTTCCTCGTTCTGAATTATAGATCAACTTTATTTCTGTATGTGCATCATGGCAGCTCCTCTGAGAGCTCAGCATGGGCCCCACATGTAATTATGGCCAGAGAGAGAGAGAGAGAGTCACAATGTCAATGTGGTGCTGTAGACAGTGAAAAAAGGGAATACTCATTGAAAAACATTTCCGTTTGTCATAAAACTCCAATTTTAACATATTGTTATATATTTTCTGTCCATGTTGAGCCCTTAACATTGACACTGTGGAGCAGGTGATCAACAGCAACATCACATTTAGGCTGAGAACTAGGCTAATGTAATAACTAATCCTCCTGGAGAGGCCGCCTCTCGCTTTGAAAACCTCTGTTCTTGAGATTTCAACTTTTCTCATTTTAAGGAAAGAAATCACAGTAGAGATAAGACGTAGCTGACATCAACTCAAAGACCACCAGATTTAGGACAAAAGGAGAGTCAGCATGGCTTTCCAACTGTAAAAAACATCACTCAAAAAGAGTTTTCATCCCGAACACATTGGGCTGAAGTTCATTCTTGACCTTTGTGAACAGTAGGCCTATATATCACACAGCTTACAATGAATGATGACATTGCTTTTAATGTGCAATGTTTACATCAGCTTGTGCTCTTCTTCTTCTCCTCATTTATTGTTGCATTTAACCTTTTATGTTGCATTAATGCCACCAACAACGTACTGTTTCTTCATGTGATTGCAACAATAAATAAACACTCTGAGCTAAACCTGCATTGTCTATGTTTCCCAAACTTAGGGTTGGGACCCAAAATGGATCGCAGGGCCATTTTTATTGAGTAAAAATGAATAAAATTCTTAAAAATGTTACAATATGTAAATGTGTGAATTTTTTTTTGCTACACTGGTCTGTTTAGCTCAGATGCTTTGTGAGGTTTTCTCTCTCTCTTCTCCCTAACCTGATCTTCTGTCCACATTCATACAAAAATGATGTCTGTAGTCTTTCACAGTCAATCCTATGATGTCTAATCTAAAGTACAAGGACGAGTTTAAAGATGCTTCAATGTGTAATATGTGGAGAAGTCCTCAGTAATGAGAGTTTGGTTTTAAAATGAATAAATTGGACAGATTCCTCCAAACGAAACATTCACTGTATCTGGGCAAAGCCCAAACATTTTGTTTTTTCTTTGCTAAGAAGTATCCTTCAAGATGTGTTGATTCAGTCTGGCACAACATACTTGTGTGAATCTGACATTTCAACTCCAGTATACCTTTATTCATAGATTGTAAATGTGGATGTATTTTTTGTAAATTTTGGTCCCAGGGAGACACCAGATTTCTCTTTCGGGTCTTGAGTTGAAAAGGTTTGGGAACCGGTGTTCTAAGGTAATGATGGATCTAATAATGCCTGAGACTGTAGTCTAAGTTGGGAAGCATGAGGCCTAAAACTGTTGTCAGACACAAGAACTAATCTTAACAGGGGGTGGGGCAGATATTTCCCTCATTAGCTGGTGGAGACCAAAACCAGAGCTAAAAGTTGCAGTGTAGCACCACTCCATATACAATAAATGCTCAATTACAAGTGAGCAGGAAAATGTACATAAAGCATTAAAAGTAAAAGTACTCATTAAGCAGAAAAATGTCAGGATATATTATTGTACTAGTACTATCTGTGCATTACTGCGTATAGCAGGTTGAAGAGGAACTGATTTTAATACCACAGTCTGTAACATTGCATCACATTTGGGAAGTTACTCATAGGTTTATTATACATTATATTCTTGAGTACATTTATTTCCCAATATTTACCTCTGAAATGTTTTGGAGTAGAAGTATACAGTAAGAATAAAATCGAAATACTGAAGTTAAATACACGTATCTCAAAATTGCAGACGTTCTTGGGTAAATGTACTTCACTGCTGCTAACATGCTTCCCACATACACACCCACCACCCACCTTTATGAAGACAGATTTCAGCTGCCACAGTTAACTGTGTGCACTTCATGTGTCTATAAATCACTGTACTGTTGAGAATAAAGCTGATTAAATACTTGCAGGAAGAAGGTGAAAAATTCAGAAGCAGATGAAGTCCGACTGCTCCGGTTAAAACACCATTAGGTCCACATTAGGTTCACACCTGTCTGCGATTCCTCGGCCCATTTCCTACACTCTGCAATTACAGACTAAGTAACATTATTACGTTACATTATAGCTACACTTTACCTGAAGCAGGGCACTTACTGCTGCCTCTAAATGGACGGATGCCCTCAGTACTGTGAGTAGTGAGTGCTACATGTGCAACCACTGCTGATGCTTGGATATTTTTCTGGATATTATGATCCAGATACCATCATCATTCCCTGAAACTTCACTTGTTGCTAAGCAATATTAAACTAACATTTCCCAACTGAAC